GTTAAAAGCAGGGGTAAAAATCGACGCGTTTCAAAAAGGCGGGGCATAGAGGAGAAACAATAATGTACAGTATGTGGAAAATAATGTTTTTTTTTTTACTTTAAACCGCATAAACACATTTCATTACACCAAATACACAAAATAATGTTCTTTTTAGCAGCATCATATGACCCCTTTAACTAAATCTAAAACCATTAAAAAAAGCTAGCTACCAAGGCAATTACTAACATAACTAACAGGAAAAAACTATACAAAATTACATAAACACACAATAAAATTACTAAAAGAAAAAGAAAAAATATAAAAATAAAAAAATAATTTAAAAAATAGCTTAACAGTTTAGCAGTCATAAAATACTGCTGGCTAAAAGGCATTATAAATTTGCTTCCTATGTTTGGATATTTTTTTTCACAAAGTCACATGATTGTCATCTTATGACGCCAATTAGAGCGATAAAATTGCAAATAACTCCTGAACTCTAAAGCTAATTATTGCTGCCCAGAAGCACAGAAACAAACTGCACGGCACGCTTTGTGTTTATATGTTAGAAGAAGAGAAGAAACTTTGCTTTGGTAACTGGAAATGTTGGTGCGCAGAAACTTGTGTAGACAAACATAAACAACACAAATAGATCAGGGTTGCTTGAGTCAGCTGTTCACAGTACCCTGATGGAGAAATGTGCTAAATAAAAATAATTCCCTCTTCTCTTTCTCATCTGCCCTGACCTTGACCAAAGACCACCCTCCAACACATGACCTCCAGCTACTGAGATGAGACCACAGCATGATGTGGAAACACACCGGTCAGGGTGCAAAAACTTCCATTAAACAGCAGAAAATGACCATGTTTGATTGCACATTCTCATCTCATCCATGACCTTCAGATCTATTCTAACATCATCAAAAACGTATGAGCTTTCAATAACAGGGTCGTCTCTGATCACATGTGAAACGTGGTTTGAAAAATACACTTTCAAGAACTTCGCTGTAGAAATCTGTTAACTCAGCATTGTGTGTTTGCAAAAATATCATGTGATGTTTACTAAGTGTACAGTATCATATGGCCTATGAAACCACAAATATTCCAGGTTTAATACTACTTTCATTTTGTTTTACTGCTCTTTTGAATGTAATTAATTTTTTCTTTAATTAAGGACCAAATATATTGAAAACATCATGTGAGGGGTACACATAAAAAAAGAAATAAAAATAAAATACAAATTTACAGATGCATAATTTGTGTTGCTTTTAAGCTTTTACTTAGATATTTCTAAATATGTCTTAATGTCAACTGTAAATTGTGCACTTTTGCAGTCTCCTTGACTTTATGTATATAATAAACAATTAGAATAAATAAATAGAAATTCTTCATTTTATCAACATCAAATGAAAAACATTTAGGTCTAAAACAACATCAGCTTCTACAAATTACAAAACTAGCTTCTATTTAATTTTTCACCAAATACTTTCAACTTATACCTCAACTTGGATGATCACCCTATAGATTTACATTGTAGGTAAAAAGACTTTTGCATACAATATGCGTCAACGTCTTTTATTTTCACAAATTATGGGAGTCCATATTATAGTTTGTGGTAATCAACAATATTCCAGTTTGTATTTAACCTGGAATATCTCTTTAATTTCCTAGACAAAGGGATTTATTTTTGGTTGCATGTAAGTTTGTAATTGTTATGGTGGGCAACAAGCTGCAATATGCTTCTAAAATGAAAACCCAACATCATTGGCCTGCATTATTTGGAACAAGGTCTCAGCATTGGGTTGGGTTTGGATGTGCGACCTTATCTAGTATTAGTCAGGGTCTGCAAGACCTCAACATTGCTTAATGTTTAGGAGCAACTTAAGCAATTGCTCAGCATTGCTCTAAGTCTGGAAGTAATGTCTGAGAGCATCACCACATATAGGAATAGAGATGTTCCTGACTCCCATAATGATTGTGTAACCTAATCCAACACTCCCCAGCCCAACCATCTGACTCCTATCTGCACTTCTCCAAAGGCAAGGCACTTCACACGCCAACAAATGAAACTCATGTGTCACTAATGTGTCTGTAGGTCTGATCGTGCTCTTAGAATCAGCTCAATGCATTGGGAAGCTTTGGGAAGCACATGACCAAAAGTGCCCTTTACTAACATTGTCTTTATATGATTAACACCAAGCAAAACTTTTCAAACAAGATGTTGAACTTTGATTTTGTATAGCCTATATTTAATTACTGCACCTCAAGTAAGTTCTGTCTCCGGATCACCTGGACCTTCTTATGGGCTTCAGACCTTCAGCAGAAGATCCGCTCTCGCAATAACACTACTTTAAACTTCTTTATAGACTATGTGACTGGTGCTTAAGTAGATAATCAAAGGCACTTTGGATTTTAGAGGCCTAAATTTAATGAAGGGTCAATTATAAGCTTTCAAATCTATTAAAGATAAAGACCGACACCAGGCAGAGAGACCCTAAAATGCATTACATTAATGCAGTTGGTTATATATCAATGCATTGGGAAGCTTTGGAAAGCACATCACCAAAAGTGCCCTTTACTAACATTGTCTTTATATGATTAACACCAAGCAAAACTTTTCAAACAAGATGTTGAACTTCGATTTTGTATAGCCTATATTTAATTACTGCACCTCAAGTAAGTGCTGTCTCCGGATCACCTGGACCTTCTTATGGGCTTCAGACCTTCAGCAGAAGATCAGCTCTCGCAATAACACTACTTTAAACTTCTTTATAGACTATGTGACTGGTGCTTAAGTAGATAATCAAAGGCACTTTGGATTTTAGAGGCCTAAATTTAATGAAGGGTCAATTATAAGCTTTCAAATCTATTAAAGATAAAGACCGACACCAGGCAGAGAGACCCTAAAATGCATTACATTAATGCAGTTGGTTATATATTTCCTTCCTTAAATCGACATGGACATAGACCTCATTAAATAAATGAAAGAGCAAAGAGAGACTATAAAAGGCCAGAATCACTCACGTAAATCATTGTTTTGTTATTATTTTCAGATGTAGGTTGCTAGATCTCTAAGCTGGGAAACAAACAGATGTGTCATGGTAATTCATGAAGACAGCTGAGCATGAAAAGTGTCCCAAGACACGTCTAGACAAGCCTCTGAAATCAGGCAGTCATGTAAAACCAAAAGGGCCTCATGTTGCATAAAACGCTATCACATCATCACGTTTCAGTCAGGACTAAAAAAAATAAAAAAAATTAACAAAGAGTACAAATGAGAATAATAAAGACTAAGCAAATGTACATTTTGTTTAATATTATAAGGATCTAAACTAAAGCATATTTTTCTGCACAATTTCACCAGCAAACCCTCCTACTGTTCTTATTTCTATTATAAAGTAAATGCAATCAAACAGCAGCATTTAATGCAACTACACACAATATTAAAAATATAAATATGCTGCAAAAAACAGACAGTCAGATATGCCATCCTTATAAGTAAAACAAAACAAAACATGGTCACCACTAAAATAAAACCAATTTCCATTTTGTTACATATAATATAATATATATTAATTTCTGAATTTTAAGGACATTGGTAATAAGTTACCAGTTTTACTGGAGCTGCAACTATGATTAATTTTTGTAAGGGAAAGAATACTGAGGCTGATAATACACTGGGCAACTTTTTGAGCAATGTTGCTGTCAACGGGCAACCAGGTAAAAATCTAACAGATAGAAATTTGTTACCCTTTCTCAATGGGAAAGTGCACAAGCAGCATAGCTCAAAAAAACGTTCCCTGGCAAAATTGCTCAAAAAGTTGCCCTGTGTATCATCAGCCTAAGACCACATTGTAACATTGTAAATTAAACAGCACTGTGATATTTCCTGGATATTTGACTAATGAGAATAAACCTTATAAAGCTAAATGTTGAGTTAATGTTAAACTGGAAGTTAAAATAAACAAACAGGAACTGAACTAAACACCTCAGTCTTTAGTATTTAGTCTGAAACACTCAGTCAGTTTACTCATGTCAGACATTTCAATAAACACGTGTTACTAGGGTTGCCACCTTCAGCCAGCCACACATTCACGACCCCCCCACCCCACCCCCTAAAAAAAAACAAAAAAAACAAGGACACAAATACTAGAGGAACTCACCGCTCAACAATACACCATGAAAAAACATGCTCATGTATGTAAATGATTACTTTTTATTAGTCTTTTTTTGACAGTTCTGCAGCTGTCCCTGGATGAGACTAATTTTTATTTATTTATTTTTTATTCATTTGCTTAAATTAGGACTACATTAAATCTAAATAATTTAGCATTTTTTAAAACTTTTTAAAATGTCAAATTGCATATGACATATATGCTTATTTATTATGTATATATTTATGATTAATATAAATTATAAATGAATAAATAGGGTCTAACATGAATTATAATCTATTAATTCATCTGTCTAATAATGTCTAAAAATATATAATAATTATGTCTATCAAGCTCTAACAGACTATCCAAATTAAAACAAAACAAAACAATAGGGTTATCCCTTTAGAAGCACAGATGTGTCTGTCACTTTAAAGGTATGGTTCACCCAAAAATGAAAATTCTATCATAATTTACCCAGGTTGTTCTAAACCTGCAAGTTCTTTCTTCTGTTGAATACAAAAGAACATACTTTGAAGAATGTGGGTAACTAAACAGCTGTAACTTCCATAGTAGAGAAGAAATGCTGCACGAAACTCTTCAGTGAACTTACTAAACCATTAAAACACGCAGATCTTTCTGCAAACGTTAGTTTGTATGTGACTTCATTTATTAACGCCAAAACGATTATGAAGTTTCTCTTCACTTTCTTCCAGATTGTTTACACTGTAAATTACACGAGTGACGCGACGCGACAAACTACTGACTGAGCTCTGGACGCGCGCGACGCTCCTGTTATAATCAACATAACAGCTCTTCGTTAATGAGAACACGACCGTCTGGCCGATTGACCTCTAGTCGTCTCACCGTATTTGTTGGGTTCTCTGTTGTACCGGAGGATGGGCACCGATCCCCGCCGCTCCTCACCGGCACCGGCGTCAAACACAGAGTCTCCATCCGGTGCGTCTCCAAACGCGCTCTCGCCGGCGTGCGCCACCGGCACGACCAGAAACCTCTCGCTCATGTTGGTTGTCCGTGGGTCGGACCTGTCCGGTGTCTGATAAACTTCAGTGATCAGACGGTTTACATCCGTGATTTATCGCCGCTAATCTGACAGTGTGTGAGCGCGCTGCGAGGAGTGAATGTGCAGAACGCGCTGCGCTCATTGGCTGAGAGATGAACGGGGCTTCATATAAATAACAGATCCATGCGCTACTAGATCAGAGTTTGTGTCTGATGTGCTACAGTTCCATCAATGAAGCCTAACTAGAATTATTCCCTTTAATGTTTAAGTATTTAAAAAGTTTAATTGTGCTGTTACTAACTTAAGGAAATCAAGAAATGAAAAGTGTTAAACCATTTTTCAACAGAAAAACATTTTTTAATGTTAATAACTCCCTATTATTTTTGTTCTAAAGCATTGTTTATTTTATTTTAATGAATATTTATTTATTTAAATATAATAATAATGTATGTTTTATAGATAAAGCCATTTCAAGATCAAGGAATTCAAGAAATAAAATAAATAATGTTAAACCACTGTTTACAAATATATATATATATATATATTATTTGAATGATGTAAACAAATCCCTAATTTTATAATATTATTTATTTATTTATTTATTTATTCTTAAAAACATGTTTTAGCAAAGCCATTTCAAGATCAAGCAGTTAAACCACTGTTTAAAAAAGCAAAATATGTTATTGTTTTAATAATGTTAATGAATCCCTAATATTTGTATTTTAAAGTATTATTCAATTGTTTGTTTATATTTATTTGTTTAAAAATATGTATATTTATGTTTGAAAGATTTAACAAAGCAAATCAAGCAAAAAATATCCCTGGAAACAGTTTGTATTTTTCTGATTGAGAATCACTGCTGTTTATGAGACAAATAATTCCCCTTCAAAGAAAAAAAAACTTTTTCTGCTCTATTTTAGTTATTTGTTGACATTTGTAAGTCTATTTTTGTGTTATTTGTTCTGTAGTTTGTTGTTTTGTCATTAAGATCATTATTTGTGAACTGGACAAGCTGTTTATAAACAGTAAACACAGATATATGAACATTTAGCAGTTAGTGTTTAATTGTCCTAATGAAAATATTGTTTTATTTAAATGATGTTAATGACAGACACTTTCCTGTGCTGATGGTAGTGTTTTATATAGTCGTCTGTCTCATATAAACTCATATTCACATGAGCCTGTGGCTTCATTAACATCCACTTTCTGTTTCCCTTTTGTGTCGTGTGTTTTCTCATAGATACAGATGAGTAACACACATGAGGAGTTTCCAAACCTGCAGAAGCTCTTCACACACAACATGACGAAGAGCTGCTTTTAATGATGATACTTGCTCAGATGGCTTTGAGTCACACAGACAAACATTATTTCCACAATGTCATATCATATGAAATAAAGACACTCTATTAAACTCCTCTCAGTCTCAGCGAATCCCACGTGAAAAACAAGTGCACTTCCATAATGTACTTAAAGTGCTCTATTTTTGCGCACTAATTTTGTACATAATATACTAAAAATGATTCTTTTGTAGTTCTTAATATAAACTTAAGATCATCTAAGTGTACTCAACTGTGCTATTTTGGGGCACCATGAATATGAACTAAAATGCACTTTTAACATACTATCTTTGTATTTAAAAAATGTATTTACCACTTGTAGTACACTTGAACCATCTTTCATACACTAGTACACCTAAGTGTACTACAAATGGTGACTAAATACATTTTTTAAATACAGACATAGTATGTTAAAAGCGCATTATTCACATGTTTATTGCTTCATGTTTTTTCTTTGAAATTATACTAAAATGTAATGTGCAGCAGGAATATGAAATGCTTTCATTTGCATCTCACTTATATAATTAAAACATGTTTTTAAGAATAAATAAATAAATAATATTATAAAATTAGGGATTTGTTTACATCATTCAAATAATATATATATATAGTG